ATTTCTGAACACGAGTTACTACGTTCTTAGTTTAACTTTGGTTTTTGTGCATAAAAATTTTCTTTTACTACTTTACCATAGAAGTATACATTGTACATACACATTTTTCTACTAATATTGCCCATGTTCGTTCTTTTCTTTCCTCTGTATGTGTCAAGACCTTCCGTCTTCATCTCAACATTTGTCTTTACTAATTAAGGTCAGCGTATCACTTCTTGAATACACCACCCTCCATGTAAGATCTAGTTAACGTTGACTCTACATCTTTTGTTCAGCACCAACTGCCTTCCTATTGATGTTGATACTCACACTGAAAAGACCAAATGGGGGATAACTGTGCCACCAGGTGTTATTTTGGACACATACCTCTTCAATCCTGAACAACCTATTTTGGTTGTAGTGATATGAAGTGGAATTTTGTGAGATGGTGCATCTAATTTCCAGAGACATTGCCACTACAACTCCATCACCTCAAAGATCCAAAGGCATCTTCAACAAGAAATTGATCCCATGTTCTCTTCCATCAAGGATCACAATGAATGGGACCTTCCAATGTTGTCTTGGTGACTCTCATAACTCGAATGTTACAAAGATTGGGTCCCTTTAACTCATTGCTTACAAAGACTAGTTCATATTCTTCTTTTGTTCTTAGTGAACATGAAGCTTGGAATAAATTTGGAGAATCTCAATGATTAAAGGCATTATCTCTCTTTATTTACTATGAATCATGTTATTTGGTGTGATATGGTTGATCTTGTTTGTTATCTTTTATAGTTGAAACTTCAAGTGGTAGATATCTTGGAAAATGGAAGTATTTTCTTATCTTACTAACTCTTTTGTTTGTATTCTTATATTGTCTATTATTTTGTACCATTTTTAAAAGAATTTGATAGTGGCAACTCTAATCCTAGTATGCAACGTTTGACACATCATCATCCCTAGAAGCATGTTGTTGTATGTGACAAAATCTCTCTAAGTTTCTCATTAGCGAGACCATCTGCTAAGAACATTGAGTCACCCCCTCATGTTGTCTATCTAGCATTGCCTAAACTTTCTAAGTGAGATTTCCTGGTCCAAATAAAATATTGATAAAAATTCTTGCGTGTTTGTATTTAGTTGACAATCTTATCTGACCCTCTCCTTGGAAGCATGCATGTCGTATGCATCAAGTCTCATGTTCTGCTGAAACATTGAGCATAACCCAACAGGTTAACTTGATTGCATCGTCATCAATGTAAGAGTTACTTGTCTGGTCCTATAATAAAAAAATATTGCTCATGTCCTTGACCTCCTAATCTAAGGTATGACATGGTACCATTATGAGTTAACGATCAATTGTTGATTCTAGAATGCAACTTACTCTATGATACAAAATTCTAAACCATTTCTTCTTGATACATTAAACTGTTTATTATTCACGCTGATTTCACCTCATCGTGACTAAAACAAAGCATTCTTTCCTTTATCTTCCTAATAAAACATCATGATTTACTGTGTTATACCATAGACTCATAAAAGTTTGAAACTCTGTGTTGATGGTTAGTCTATGTACCATAAAGTATCACACATACCAGTCCATTATTGCCCTTATATTCTTCTTTAAAGTTAATGATTCAGTGTAATGTACCATACGTTGATAAGAGCTTGACAAATCTATGTCGATGGTTAAGCTAAAGCACCACAACTTATCACACACATCGTACCACTCTTGCCCTTTTTCTTCTGATAAAAATGTTTAATGAGTCAGCGTATGAATCCACACGCTGATGAGATATCACAATACTGTGTCAATGAATGGTAGTTCAAACCCACTCTACCAGGATACATTACAAACTTAACGTTTCAAGGAACTCATTGATTGCTTATGTTGATGTTCATTACCGCTGATGACAAGTTACCTGTTTTAAATGATAACTTTTTGGATGACATCCAAAAGATCCATCATTATCTTGGGGTGCAAGATTTTTACAACGAGTATATCTTTATTCATGATTATGTAAAAAGCAAGAAACATTTTGGGAATATATCGGCAATTCTTCATTCTATGTCATTTTTAAAAGAAATTAAAGCAATTAAGCTCTCTCTCTCTCTCTCTCTCACACATACACACACACACTCTCTCTCTAAAAATAGTCCAAATTGTCATCTTCCTTAAAGCTTTCACCATGTAAAATAATTTGTACGAGTTTGCCCACATTGCTAACATTGTCAAAGTTCCTCATGCTCCTGACCTTCCCATCATCTTTCAATCGACTAATGTGGTGTTCTTGGATGAAATCCTAAAGCAGTTTGTAAAGTCAAGAATTGAAGAATGAGTCAACAACGTCAACAGTTGTCCTCTACGATATGCATTATGTGACTTTCGGGATCTATTCTACCCTAAACATGTATGTGAGTTCTACCATATAGGATTACTGTTGATGTGGAATCCTTTCGAACTGTTCTTCGTCTTTCTCGATTTGAAAGCTATTCTAAAACTTCTTTTGAAGAAAGTTTCGTGAAAAATTAGGGTGTAATTTCAAACTCCAGGGTCTCACTCATGATTCATATAATAACTATTCGTCAGTGTTTTAATGTAGGTTGGAAGTACTTAACAGGTGTGATTGGTAAATGTCTTGGAAAAAAGACTGGAAGTTTTGGATCATTTGAATCTCTTTGAGAAAAGTATCTTATACTCAATTGTTTACAACAACAAAACTGGAATTTGCTAAACTTATCTTGATCAAATGATTAACATCATTACTAGGAACAAGATGCCATTGCATGTTCCTTATCCTTGTTGGCTTGGTTTGATCTTATCTCGAAATGAAGGCTATGCTGAAACTCATGGAATATCATTCCAATTTCATCCCTTTCCTCAATGATTATTAAAGCAGCTCCATCTCAGGGTGACTTGCATATTACAATGAGGATGCAAAAATGGCTTGAAAATTCCTTTGTGGTTGAATCCTCAGACTCTTAAGGTGATGATGAGAATGATATGGAGGATGAAAATGACGAAGCTGGTAAAAAGAAGGGGTTATAAGGAAGAACGCACTGATAAAGATAAGGAAGAATCAACCGTTGATAAGGGAGAAGACTTTGCTCACGAAACTAATTCTCCTCCAATGAACTCTCCTCAAAGGAACTCTCCTCCAAGGATGAACAAGCACATTCATTTTTCAACTACATCTTCTTCCTCTTCCACTGCTGATGATTCTATATTACTTGAATTGACCACTTATATTGTGGAAACTACTAAGCCAATGATCCAAGAAGTCAATTTTCCGAAGTCAGCGTCTCCTCCTCATCAAGTTGATATAGTAGCCTCTGTGTCCACACCCATTACTACTGCTACTTTTCATCAAGGTGATTAGGAAGCATTCTGCTCTAATTTTCAAACTACTATGATTTCCTAACATTCTCTAATTGTGAAAATTATTCAATCACTGGATAAAAGGTTGAGTATGGTTGAAAGACATGTTGCCACAATGAAGTTACTTACGGCTTTAAGTGATGATAATGATGATACAGTTGTTGGCAACTCAGCAGCTACTCAACAACGTCAAGAAGTCAAACCTTGTGCCATCAGCTAATCTATCTAGACCATCATCCTCAGGAAGAACACGTGCTCCCAGACAGTCCTAGAATACCAAGTTTCTTCTTCCTTATGGAACTTGGTATATCAATAATGAATTACCAGCAAGTGTTGACCCAGTCCAATACATGTTTATTCTAGAACCGGAGCATGGGTTATTTTATCTTGATGATCTTTCTACTGCTCCGACAGAACATTTGTTTCATCTTCTCTTGGAAGGACTTGGTTATTTTTAACTAGAAATAGGATATCGCATGGTGATATCTTATCTTAAAACATATCAAGTCAGATGGGTCAATCCTAAGATCTTGAAAGAAGCTGAAAAGTTTTAGAATGGCTCTTCTGATGACTATGATGAAGACTAGTTTTAACATCATTAGATAGGGGAGATTGTAACGTCATACCTTATGATATGTTGAGTCAAACACTCTACACATCCATTAGTGTTAGCATTTGCTATACAACATCAATAGCGCCAGGGTATCAAGCTTACCAACGTCAGCACATAATGTAGTTATTCTATGTAATCTTTTGTATATTAGGGAATGATATAGATTAGTATAGAATAGATCACAGATTTGGTATCTCTGTGATAAGATCAGTTTTTAGTATAGATTAAACACAATCCCTTGAATCAAGTGACATACTTATATAGATTAGTATATATACAACATTAGGGTAAACCCTAATGTTGTGAGTTCGGATTTGTGTCAATCGTCTTTGTAACAACCCTTCTTCTTGGTGAAGACAAAACAATTTCTTGGTGAAAGAAAAATTTGGAGAACTCCCCGTGTTATTTGTTTTCTATTCCTTGTTTTTATTAGATTAGTTTATGTTTGTTCTTAATACTTGAAGTGTATCTGACCGATACAAACTTTCACGAGTCCCATTATGAGAGTTAGGGAGATGCCTGTTACACTCATCAGGCAGGGCCTGTTACTTGTATGGTATGTGGTACTTTGGGGAACTCAGTAAGCTTTGTGCTTACAATTTATGTTTATGGTTTTAGGTACTTCCGATTCAAAAGGGAAGGCCCAACAAGATATTCAACATCCTCCCCTCATGATTTCTGCATTTTTTGGTTATTGTTACTCTAATAACCTTGATATTGTACATTTTGAATGTTTTGGAACAATTTAATGATTGAAACTATTGAATTTAAAATGAAAAATTTTATCATTCTTTTTGGGCTGTTACATCCCAGGAAATCTGTAGCTTCTTTAATTTTGAAGAAACTCATGCTTGTCGCATCCAATGACTTCGATATTCCTATCGCACTACTATTACTTATATTATTTACAAGTGACATCCTAAAAATAGGATCACCACATGTTGTTTTGGAAATACACTAACATATATGGTTGATTATCTTAATATAGCAACAATATTTAAAGTAAACATTCCCTATTTATTATAATATTGTCATAGTACATCTATTATTTAAAGCCTAAGAGCACTATTAACTTCTAGGATGTGATCTCATTTATGTTGGAGCTTTTCCTCGATCCGAAGAAGAACCAGCTACAAACTCCAGTACTTCCCTTACTTCTTTTGCTATGAGTTGAAAAGCTTGTCCTTCGTCCCTTGGGGCTTTAACTCCATCATGTCGTCCGTCGATTATTCTCAATGTCCCCAATGTTGGCACTTGTATTGTGCTTGTTGCGTTTAGAAGAGGGTAGTTGGCCTTGATGTGGCCCAGCCAGTTGTTGTGGGAACAGATGTGCACTCCCTATGCCCTTTGATTACAATCTATGTTGTAATGTCCTTCCTTGCCACACTTGTAGCATATCAAAGCATGACATACTCCTTCATGAGTTTTTCCAAACATGGCTACACTAAGACCCTTTCTGTCCTCCATACCTTGTAACATTGTGCTTGAATTTCTTATTTGCTGGTTGGGATGAAGTTAGAGTTTTCCGTTTTTCCTTTTATTAAGTTTCTTACTCAATTTCCATTCTCCTGCCATGCCCTTACATTTATGTTAAGGTCTTTTATTGATTATTTGATACAAAATATTGGATGTTAGTCTTAAGCATACTCAACTATCAAGACATCTGAACCTCTTGTGATGAGGCTTACTCTGGGCTAAAACAAGGCTCTCTCAGTGAACATCTTGCTGATCTCAGTCACCGATTCAATGGTTTTGTTTAAGTGACAGATATTCTTGAGCGATTTGCTCCCTCTTTACTAGTGGAACATACTTTGCCTTAAACTTCTCAATGAATTGTTCCCAAGTCAAACGTGCTCTCCTCCTCCAGTGAATCGTTTTTTGCGAATAAGTTCCACCAATCTTTTTCTCCTAGACGTAGAAGACTATGTGTATTTCTAAGCTTCAGGTTCACTGGGAAAGAACAAGTGTAGAAGCATCCTTCCACATCCGAGATCCACCTCATGGCAACAACTAGATTTCTAACATCATTGAACTCTTGGGATTTGGTATTGTTAAACTCTCGATAAGGCTTTGTTTCTCTCCAAATGAAGCTGCAGCAACGACAACCAACAACAGTAGAAGTTGTGGTGTTGGTACTAGCAAAGGAAGTGTGCTCTTCATCAAAAAAGGAAATTAGTTCGGTTTTGATAGATATGAGCATCTCTGGAATCATTTCTCTCATGGTTATGCATAGTTTCGTCTCAATCCAATTGTGTATATCAGTCTCTCTTGGTCTTGACCCTTCAGATCCAGAACCCGACCCGCTTGCTCTTGTGATCTGTACCATGCTAAAGGCATAACGGGTTTGGGTTAGTACAAACTAAGATAACTCTAAAATGATATTCGAATCCTCACTAGTTCCTTTACAACTTTATGCCATTTTTTATTCCTGTATGGATCCTATGCTTCTAGTAGTACAGGCCCATAATACATTTCAAGCCTCTCCATACTAGATCCAAGAATTGCTCCAAGATTCCTAAGTCACTACACTCTAATATTTGGTAGTCCTATCCACACACAGTGTTTCAAGGACCTCTAGACTTTACTAGGTTTTCTACTAACACCCTACCTTCCGAATATATGTCCTATCAACATATATTAAACTTCCTAGACTATCCTTCTTGGATTCCTTCCACTCCTTTCCACTATTGGCTAAGGAAGAACTTCTATTAATACTAACTAATTATTTAATGCATACGATTACATGCCGCTAAAATCAAACAACCCGTCTACTGAAAGACCTGGCACTACAACGGTTGGACTCAAACAAGAGTTTTGCAATATCGCCAAATCAAGCAATCTAAAACTATTTAATTTTTGGAGCATGCAACCTAACATATTCGTCAAATAACCAAAACATATTAATATAGGTTCTAAGCAACAATTAACACGCAAATCTCTAATTTATAAGGCATCTTAATTATCAACCAATCCTAAGAATCAATTCCTGAAAAGATCCCTAGCCTACATACTAACATGCATTTCTAACATTTCACACATAAATATGGATATTTTGGGAATCAGATTACTTTCTAAGCTTTGACTGACCGTACACATCCTTTTTGTATTGTTTTTTTTATGAAAAGATTTCATTATTACTTGGATCCTTAGTTTGAGTGTAGAATCACGCTAGGGTTCATCCAGTTCACTCAAACCAGGGCTCTGATACCAACTAGCAACATCCCAGTTTTGAACCCAAAATTTTTCTTTTTTATTTATTAAGATATCAGGGTGTGATTACATTGTGTGGAAGCATGTAGTGAATGCACATGTGTACAGTTAAACATTGCCCCTTACATGAGTACCTAAAAGAAAATTTTATAAATAACTAGGTAAATTCTATGCTTCGTAGTTTCCCCTAATATATCATATACCACATTACACACACACACACACACACACACACATATATATATATATATATAAATGACTACAAACAATGGCTCCCGTACTTTTATCATTCCACCAATAACTAAATCTGTCTATAAGCTACCGTTCTTTGTTTGTTCCACAATCAACCCTAGCTACATAGACCCGGGTCTATAGTCTCTCATACTTTGTTTGTTTCGCCATTAACCCCCACCTACCTTTCAAGCATACCCATAATCACACACATTTATAATATATGTTCGTGTTGAATATTATGTGTTGCGTCATGGACTAGTATTTTGTATATCCGGTTTGGGCCTGTCCAACCGTGATTTGGGTTAATGTAGTATTATACATAGTGCATGCATGTATGCCTTTAATACGCTAGAAGTTTTGATTATCATATTGTATTGTAACCTTAAACACCTCTACACTCGAAGTTCTTTGTCGAGCTCTTCTGGGGTGATAAAGTTTAATCATTCGACATCGTTCAAATCATTCTTGTGTTCTTATTGTTTTGTTTATTGTTTATTTGTTTGAATCTATCAATTATTAAGGAATATTATTCCAACAATTGGTATCAGAGCAGGAGACTGTGTTGCTAATACGCATTCTTTCTATGTGAAGTATCATTAGGGTTTTCACTTTTATATAATATATAAAGGCCGTCTTCTACCTATCAACGGTAAATTTAGTGTTTGATAAAACCCTAATCTCAAGTTTAAAAGTATGATTCTAGCAGATCCAGAACACAAGAGCATTATGTCGCACAAAGACTCTTAAAGCAATCCCATCAATATCTCGAATAGTATTGGATCATCCACAAGAGTTACCATTCTCTACAATCAAGACTATGAAGTGTGGGCGCATAACTTTGAAGATTACGTGGTCAGATCTGAAGACAATAGGTATCTCATCTGGGAAGCTATTACAGTCGGTCCGTTTGTTTATGCCGGAACAAGTAGGATTGTGAAGACTCA